GAATAGTATTATTCAATCACAACAAAATAACTAAAATCGTAATTCTTGGTTTAAATATGAAATTTTGTCTAAATTTGAAATTAAAATGTCTGTAAAAAATAAGTGTGTTTATATATTTTTTAGATTTTTTGGTTACAGTATGAATTATTTAAGAGAATCTTTGTTTTAAATTTTCAACTCTTAGTTATAAAAACTGAACATTTTATAATTTTTTAATTCCAACGATTGATAATTTTCGAGATTTTGATAAATTTTGTCAAAATTCCAACTTTAAATGCTTATAAAAAAAAATCGTGCCTATGTATTTTTAATATTTTTCAACTGATATTGTAACAATATATCAGGAGCCTTGTATTAAATTTTTACACTTTTTGGCCCAACAGATAAAACTTTATTGATATTTATAGAAAAAAAAACTAAAAAAATTGAAAGCTGTAAATGTCCATAAACAGCTCAAAAAGAGTCAAAATATTTTCAAAATTGTATGGTGTATAGAAAATGCTAATCTAAACATTCAGTGAAATTTTCATGTATCTACAGTTGTTCGTTTTTGAATTGCAACAAAATAAAGAAATCGCTACATGAGTAATCGAGTGAATATCCAATGTTGTAAAAATTTGAATTTCAAACGCTCATAAAAATTTAACTTGACTGTCCGGTAGAGATTTTTTTATTGATAAAGGTAGATAATCTTATAAGGAATCTTGTGTTTCATTTTCAAATCTTAGATTTAAAAAGAAAAATTTTTACGAATTCTTAACTCAAAATAATTTGCTAATTTTCGTGATTTTTCCATATTTTGTCAATTTTTGAACTTTAAATGCTTATAAAAAAAAATTGTGACTAAGGATTTTTAATATTTTTCATCTGCCTTTGAAACAACATATTAGGAGCCTTCTATTAAATTTTCAAGCTTTCGCAACCAACAAATAAAATTTTATTGATATTTCTAGAAAAAAAACTAAAAAAAAATGAAAAATGAAAATGTCCCTAAACAGTTCAAAATAAATCAAAATATTTTGAAAATGTTATCGTGTTTAGAAAATGCAAATATAAACAACCAGTGAAAATTTCATGTATATACGTTCATTTGTTTTAGAGTTACACCAATAACCAAAATCGATTTTTTGGAAAACCAATTTTGCGTAAAAATTCCCGTTTTTCCTTAATTTTTGTGTTGTTTTTCCCGGCGCTTGTGAAAACTACTGGGAAATTTATACTTTTGACCCCCCAAAGTACCAACTAGATTCACTTTCCTATCAGAAAAGCTACTGATGAAGAAAATCCAAGCACTTTTACTGTCCTAAAACGTGATGACAGACACAAAAATAAAAAAAAAATAAAAAAAATAAAAAAAAAAATAAAAAAAAAATAAAAAAACACACATCATTGTAAAATCAATACATTCATCGTTTCACTCAGAATCTAAAACTGAACATTTTATAATTTATTAATTTCAATGATTGATAATTTTCGAGATTTTGATAAATTTTGTCAAAATTTGATCTTTAAATGCTTATAAAAAAAAACTGTGCCTATGTATTTTTAATATTTTTCAACTGCTATTGTAACAGTATATCAGGAGCCTTGTATTAAATTTTTACACTTTTTGGCCCAACAGATAAAACTTTATTGATATTTATAGAAAAAAAAACTAAAAAAAATTGAAAGCTGTAAATGTCCATAAACAGCTCAAAAAGAGTCAAAATATTTTCAAAATTGTATGGTGTATAGAAAATGCTAATTTAAACATTCGGTGAAATTTTCATGTATCTACAGTTATTTGTTTTTGAATTACAACAAACTAAGGAAATCGCTACATGGGAAATCGAGTGAATATTCAATGTTGTAAAAATTTGAATTTCAAACGCTCATAAAAATTTAATTTGACTTTCTTATAGACATTTTTTTTTTTGATAAAGGTAGATAATCTTATAAGGAATCTTGTGTTAAATTTTCAAATCTTAGATTTAAAAAGAAAAATTTTTACGAATTCTTAACTCAAAATAATTTGCTAATTTTCGTGATTTTTCCATATTTTGTCAATTTTTGAACTTTAAGTGCTTATAAAAAAAAATTGTGACTAAGGATTTTTAATATTTTTCATCTGCCTTTGAAACAACATATTAGGAGCCTTCTATTAAATTTTCAAGCTTTCGCAACCAACAAATAAAATTTTATTGATATTTCTAGAAAAAAAACTAAAAAAAAATGAAAAATGAAAATGTCCCTAAACAGTTCAAAATAAATCAAAATATTTTGAAAATGTTATCGTGTATAGAAAATGCAAATATAAACAACCAGTGAAAATTTCATGTATATACGTTCATTTGTTTTAGAGTTACACCAAAAACCAAAATCGATTTTTTGGAAAACCAATTTTGCGTAAAAATTCCCGTTTTTCCTTAATTTTTATGTTGTTTTTCCCGGCGCTTGTGAAAACTACTGGGAAATTTATACTTTTGACCCCCCAAAGTACCAACTAGATTCACTTTCCTATCAGAAAAGCTACTGATGAAGAAAATCCAAGCACTTTTACTGTCCTAAAACGTGATGACAGACACAAAAATAAAAAAAAAAATAAAAAAAAAAATAAAAAAAAAAACACACATCATTGTAAAATCAATACATTCATCGTTTCACTCAGAATCTAAAAATAACCATGGATCATTTCAATATTTTATATCTGATTACTCAATTAATTAGTTAATTAAATAATTAATTAATTATACGGACTAAAATCTTAGTCCGTGATTAAATGTTAAAATACTAATAATAATAATTAAATAATGCAGTAAGCTAATTAAGCTATAAGAAGTTTTGAAGAATTGAGAACAGATGACAATTTTCAGAAAGTATGGGAAAAGGCTACTATTGTTTCAAAAAATAATGGTTTTAGTGAGCCTAACCTACCACGCATTAAATCAGTACGAATACGACTCAGTAAAATTAGGTGGTGGCAAAAAACAAACTATACAGACTGTTCAAGATCATTTTCGTATAAATGTATTTTTTGGAATTATAGATACAGTAATGATGTGCATGAAGAGTAAATTTAAAGAAAATTATTTAAGTTTGTTGAATTCTATGAATAATGTCTTATTTAATAAAAACCTTACTAATCAGTCAATAGGGGAAGTTTGTAATGCATACAAAATAGAATCAAATGATTTATCAAGTGAGATAAAAATAGTAAATAGATTATTTATAAATCATGAATGTGATACAATTATAAAAAAGATAAATCATATTAGATCTAAAGATATTCAGACAGGATTCCCAAATTATACAAATATATTAAAGATTTTTTTAACTATTCCTACAAATACTGCATCTAATGAACGCAGGTTCTCAGCTCTACGGACATTAAATACATACATAAGAGTCACAATGAGTCAAGAGCGTTTGAGCAGTTTAGCAATCTTATATATACAAAAAGAATACCCTATAGATTTTGATAATATAATTGACAAGTTTGATGCTGAGGCTTCAATAAGAGGTCGTCATTTGACACTGAAGTAGTGAAGTTGACAAATACCTAGTAATTATGTTACACACAGTTAATTTTTTTTTTTTAATTATTATTTATGTCAAAATAAAAAGTTGTTTTTTAATAATATTTTTACATATTCATGTACATATTTGAAATACAGGGAGTCAGGGACCCAATTGGAATAGTTATTAATAAAGACATTTTTTTAACTACATTTGTTGTAGCAATAGTTATATATTAGGGGGTACTGGGGGGCAACTTCCCTATGGATTTGTGAATGTTATTACCATAAACGTTTGCACCCACATAAGTTTCTACCAAATGCCACCTATGCCCCCCCCCACATTGAAAAAATACTGGTTGCGCCACTGATGTAACTGCTGTAACAATATCTGGAATCTGGATATTGTATAATTTGTAGGTATATCCTAAAAGATTATCGGGCAACTACGCTTCAAAATCCCGGTTAACAGTCCACACACTGCTGACTCAACGAACTATAACTTATAAATGGTAACTTGTAAGGCATAGCCCAGGTTGGCCGTTCGGTTATTGAATCATTAGCTCAGTAACTCAGATATATTCTGGGAACATTTTTACCAGCGCTTCTGGTGGATTATTTAATTCCTATAATCATAAAAATTACGAATGGTTAATGCCTTCACCAGGCATAAACTTTAGTTTATAGGTCTATCCTCATGGCTATAAGCATTGATTCCTATTTAAATTTTCCCATTAGGGGGGTAACGCATAGAGTAAATAATATTACGTCATAGAACATAACGTGATTACGTGAAACCATAGATAATAGAAGATCTTTATAATAATATAATATAACACGAATACACGATGTAGAGAAGATATTAATATCTTCTCTAAATCGTGAACACGGTCTTAGAAGATATCTTGAAAGACACTAGACAGTGGTGCAGTGGTCGGTGATCGTAAATATAATATTATAATCATCTATAATATCTATGCGCGAAACTGCCGAAACTACTCCAAAATAACACTGCTCTAAGAAAATAGCAGTGCAGCCACACAATGAGAGTTTTCCGACGATTTAAGGTTATGTACAGATCTCTGAATTTGACTATACTGTTAAAAGTTCTTTTTATTATTTTCGTTTCGTTCAGAGTTCCGACTGTTCCGAGTTTTCGACTGTTCCAAGTTATTCGTATTTCGTCTTATTAGTTATTACCCATTTCTTCACGGTATTTTCCATCAATAATTCCCCGAAAACTTGGTGTTCACCACCGGACCGTTGTTGTCGACCATCAATTAGGCTGCTGGATATTATTTCTAGCACTTCTGGTATGTTGATATGTAGCATTTGCATTTTATATCTGTGTAAGAGGGTGTCGTCCGTGCAGTTCGCGTATTCAAGCGCACCGCACGGTCGCCGCATCCGAACTTCAGCATTTTGTCTGATCGACCGTAAGTTGGTCATCAACATTTCTAAATGTTTTGTTGTTTTTAACTCACCCCTAGGTTTGATTTTACGACGATGGCGGACAGTGCCAGCGAGAGTGATTCGTCGTCCATCGACGGCGGGCCCATCATGATGCCTCCGTCTCCAATCACAAGGGAACAAATGCAAAAGCGCATTGATTCCCTGCAGCAACAAAACCGTGTACTTAAGGTAGAGTTGGAAACCTACAAGTTGAAAATGAAAGCAATGGACGAGGAATGTAAACGACTACGTGAGACATCGGTTTATATTGTGAGTACCTACCTAGAAATTACATTTTATTTTTCAAAAAGTTTTAAATAACAATTAACGTTTGAATTATGTACCTACGAGTCTGTTTTGTAATTTTTACTATTTTTCTTATGTTAGTTGTAAGAATAACTGTTAAATTGAATTCTTTATTTTATATTATTTACTCTGGTTATCAAAAATTGATTTAATTTTTACCTATTCAGTGCTAGAATTATAATTTATATGTAAACACAGGTCACATACCATTTTATGTCCAATACAACAATATTAAAGATCAATTCTTACATTTCTTATACCTACATTTTCAAATTGTAAATAAAAAAAGAGTCAGTAATTTTGGTTATATCTTATGATAAAAATATTTAGTTATTTTGATGGTTATAATATGTTTGTAGACTTCTTAATAAACATCTGGTTATTGTATTAAATATTATAGTTAAAAGCAGAGTCCTCCTGGGGGGAGGGGCTGCAGCTCTGGGTTCCAACATAGTTGGGCCCCCTTATATTACTTTGATACAGTCATATTATACAATTTATTTATAGCAATCAAAATTAAATAATTACATATTGACTTATGGTATAATTTTTTTTAAATCTAAAATATTAAGTTAATATAAAATAATGATACAGCAAATAACCTGAATTTATATTTTAAGTTACGGAAACACCAAAAAATTTGCCCAAGCCCCAAAATTCCCATGGTAAGGCCCTGGTTAAAAGTTTAAAACTGTTTTGCTTAAGGTACCTACTTGCTATGTTATATTTAATTTAGAAGATGAGATTTTGTCCTAAACATAATTTTGGTATACATAACTGATTAATAAATAGGAAAAGTTAGAAATGCTTAGTTGGTACCTCATATACATTTTTATTAACAATGTATAATATTCTTTCATGGTTTCAACAATCATATTGGGTATTAAATATTTTATTAGGTAATCATCTTAACTTTTAGTTGATATTCTATTCATTGTATATCATTTTTGAATGGATTTTATATGCCTACTGTAATTTTATTTTTATTATAGTATCTTTTAACTTAATCTAAATATTTTATTAAATAATAATGAAATAGTTTAATAGTTTTTATATTTGCAATCAAGGCATTGTTGTTTTATTATTATTTTTTTTTTTTATATAGCAAGTAAGAGCAGAACAAGAAGAAGAGTTTATAAGTAATACCCTCCTAAAAAAAATTCAAGCTTTAAAAAAAGAAAAGGAAACCTTAGCCCATCATTATGAACAAGAAGAAGAATGTTTGACTAATGATCTGTCACGAAAATTAACTCAAGTTAGTTTGGTCAATGAAATTTAAAAATATTCCTAGTTAATTTCTTATATTTACGCATTGTTTATATTGGTTACAGTTACGACAAGAGAAGTGTAAATTGGAGCAGACTCTAGAACAGGAACAAGAATGTTTAGTTAATCGGCTTATGCGTAAAATTGAAAAACTAGAAGCAGAAACTCTTACAAAGCAAACGACGTTAGAGCAATTAAGGCGTGAAAAAGTTGACCTAGAAAATACATTGGAACAAGAACAAGAAGCTTTGGTAAATAAACTATGGAAACGCATGGATAAATTAGAAGCGGAAAAAAGGTAAAATTTTTATTTAAGTTTTCATTGAATTTTATCAATAATCTAAATTTGAATTTTGATTAGACAATTACAAATAAAACTGGATCAGCCTGTTTCCGATCCAGTATTACCTAGAGATCAAGTAGGACCAAACAAAGGTGAAATGGCTACAAATATAAGTGCACATTTACAACATTTGCGTGGAGAAGTTACCAGGTTGCGACACCAACTTGATGTTTCTAAAAAAGAAAGCAAGTACATGAAAATAGATATCCTGATCTAAACATTTATATAAAAATATTCTTTAACACGTTGACTTTGTTCCCAAGCTAATTGTTGTATGTTTGTACTTCAATGCCATTTGGTGTCAGATATACATTTGAAGTAAATTAATAAATGAATTAAAATAAATTATAACTAAATTGTTAGTTATTTTTGTATGTATAGCTGAAAGTTATTTGATCATTGGTTAGCATGGTCAATAGATATTTTTAAATATATTATATTCATACACCATTTGGAAGTATGACCATATTATTATGAGAGCAGTTTCTATAATTAGAAACTAGTATTATACATACTCATAGAAGTAACCACAAAAGAAACTTACTCTGTTAACCTGTTAATGAGTGAAAATAATCAGAAATAATTTTTTTTGATGTTGTTTAATATGATATACATTTACGCTTTTATAAGTTTCATCACTTATATTTTAATTGAAATATTTTATTTATTAGATTCCAAGAAAATGGAAAAAATGGCAAAAGAAGAGCGCCAAGTGCGTGAAGACAATTTGCGATTACAAAGAAAGTTACAACTTGAAGTAGAAAGACGTACAGCTTTATGTCGTCATTTATCGGAATCCGAGAGTAGTTTAGAAATGGAAGAAGAACGTCAGTATAACGAAATGGCTTCAAATCGATGCAGAACTTCATCGAGTCCACTCCCATTTCCTCCATCTCCTAGCCAATCTAGGCCCCTTAGTCCTGGATCCACTGCTGGAACACCAGGTAAAAATGTTGCATACATAAAATAAATATATAATTAAAAAAAAATAAAATAAAATTTGTCTAAATATTTATGTAATAAGTGAATGCCTACTGTTTTTATGTTACTGGGTTCTGATGTATGCTCAAATGTTGTTACTTGTTTTGTATTGTACGATAGATGCGACTGAAGCGGGTAGTGTATCTGCATCGCCGGAACAGAAAAAAAGGAAGTGCGGTGGTGGAGGTGTAGACGATAAGTGTTTTGTCCATCCGTGAGTTGTGTAAGTAGAGGGCAGATAGCTTTTTGATTAAAAACAAAACCAATAGTGCAGAGACTGTTTATAATGAGATAGAAATATTTATATATTACATACATTTCAATAGGCATTTACTTAATACTATTACTACTCAATAAAAGTTAATGTGTCAAAGCTATTCTCAGTATCAATTTTGTATGTGCGTTTTAATAATTTTATTTTATTTATACAAATTAAATTACATATAATTGTATTATATAATTTTAGGAGTGTTTCGTGGCGAAATTGGTGTATTGGGCTATGCCAATATGAATCGATGTTATGTTTGTGGCCAAACTGTACCATCGAATCTCGTCATAGGAGCACCGTCAACACCTTTATGTCCCACTACTCAAGTGGTAAGTCAATACAAATTTGTTTTTTCATTGAGTTTTATCCTCTATTATAAAAATGAAAAGTGTACCTATATCATTCTATACAGATTAATCAATCTCGAACACTATCGTTGGGGCGTCCAGTCAGTGAACGTTTTGTTAAGCCAATAGTGCCACTATCATCTAATATAGTTAATAGTGGTGGTATACCAACCGGATCACAAATTCCCTTGCCCAATCCACCGTCACCGTCAACTTTGCCTGCAACACTGATGGATTCAGTCAAGTACTAGTTTAATCTATTTATGTACATACATAACGAGCATATATTGTATTATCTATGTATGTATAATTTTACTTATTGCTTTAATAAGTTGTAAGGTTCAATATATAATACATTTTTAAAAAATAATGTCAGTTAATAAATATAATTTAAGTTTGTAATTTGCACATAAAATTATTTCAAATTTAAAAAAAAGTCAAACTAACAATTAAATAGTAATGGAGAAATCCCTAACAATAAGTTGCCTATGTGCATACAATGCCATTGTATTTTTTTTTATTATTATTAATTTATTATTTATGAAAGTTTATTATCATATTTAACTATAGTTTTTGGTTGGGTAACATTTGATAAGAAAATAGTAAATCTATTTCAATGTGATTTGCCTCTTATTGTACCTAAGCAAATGTTTTGTGTAAAGCAATAGTTGATTTTTTTTTTCATTTGTAAACTATGTAAAAGTTAAGTTATTTTTGATGTAAAGTTAATGTTTGGTAAAAGTAAATTATTACCTATTTACATTAATATTTGTTAAATACTCTGTCTATTTTCTTTCAACAGCTCTGATAAAATTTTTTTTTATCACATTATTATGAACATTATGTTTATAATTACCAATAAGTCCTATAATTATAATATAAGTTTATCTAATTCTTCAATTAATGATAATTTCTTATAAATATCTTAATTGTCTTTCTTTGTATACTGCCTGTTCATATTTCAATTACCAATATAATTCATCTATTAGTTATATAAATTAAAAGTATTAACTGTGAAGTCAATTGACTTATATGCCTATATAAGCTATTTAAATTATATTTTTATTTACCTCACAAAAATGTATTTCCTGTGGTAACCAATATTGTTTTCAGTATTTCGTATTTAAATGTTTAAATAAGCATTGGTAATTGTCAATTATGCTTAATCAATATGAAAATAATATAATTGAATCTGATGATATTTTACAACCAAGCAATACTTTTTATATTTGATTTAAGATCTAAAACAATGTGGGCAAGTGGGTACAACTCTGCTGTACATTAGGTATTGAGTGAATCACTAATCAAGTGGTGACTCAAAGGTATAATTGAATCGTATGATTCAAAAAAATATTAAGTGGACGTCACACACATAGGTCATAGACAAAATTCGTTTACGCAGTCTGAGTAGAACTTGCTCAATTTTGCCGTTAGAATAAAAACACATATTAAAAAATAAAAAGATGAAAATATTTTAGAGGTCAAGACGGTGTGTTTTTAAAAAAAAATTATTTTAAAATTAATGTTGACGTTTTTGCTATTTCTAAATGATATAATGAACGTATAATAGAAAAAACGCAACGACTTGCCCTCAGAAAGAGAGCAGTGAAAAAATGTTTCGGATGGGTGGTGTAAAAATATTAAACGTGAGTCAAGAAAATAATGTTAAAATAACTGAAAACAATGCATTTGAAAATGTTCTTGTGTGTAATATACTTGAAAACTTCCAAGTACTCAGAGATAATATTTTTAAATTACAACAAAACGACTAAAATTGCTATTATTTATTTAAATATTTAATTTTTAAAATATCTTTGATTGTATATCTATTTGTTACAGTATGAAACCTTGTTTTAAATTTTCCAACCTTAGTTATATAAATTGAACATTTTATACATTTTTAAAACAAAATAATTTCCAAATTTTTGTGATCTTACTGAATTTTGTCAAAATTTTAGCTTTAAAATGTTAATAAAACAACATTTTTTAACTGCTATAATAACAACTTATGAGAAATCTTGTTTTACATTTTGAGCATTTTGACCAAGCAAAATTTATCAATATTAAAAGAAAAAATATGAAAACTTTAAATGTTTTTAAATAGCTCAGAATCAAAATATTATCTTGTATGGAAATTTATGATATAAACATTTTGTGAATATGTCAAGTATCTACGGTTATTCGTTTTTGAATTACAAAAATATAAACATATTGTTTCTAACTACACTAATAATAATTTATGAGGACCTTTGTGTTAAATTTTCAAATGTTTTAGCAAAAAAATTTGAGTGAATAGACCTATTATGAAACTTGATGTTAAGAACATAATCTTTGCTTTGTTGGAAGCTTTTTTACGATAATTCAGTTTTTAAGTGAGTTATAGAGTATAATAAATGTAAATTAAAAATGCTCATAATTCACTTAAAAACCAAATTATCGTAAAAAAACTTCCAACAAATAGAGATAATATTCTTACCATAGAGTTTCATAATAGGTTGATTTACTCTAATTTTTAAGCTAAAGGCATAAAACTTGAATTTCTGAGTGAAATTTAATATGTTACGCGTTTGTAAGACGAAGACAACGCAGAGTGGGTGTGTGGCGTCCTCTTTAATGATTTAAGATACTTGACTAGGTACCTACTGTAAACACAAATTGAGTAGTCAATTGTTGTATAGGAAAATAAATATTAACTCTTTCACTACCTACTCCAGACGTACTATTACGTCCCTGTATTTTATAATATTCTCAACTGACGGTTACCGTATAAGTTTAAAAAAACCTTAGCTTGCATTATTTTAAACTTAAATAATTAAGTTATAAAGATCTCAAAATCGTGGCTTGACGTGGCGCATTGGCTGCTACCAGTCGCATTCTGGGAATAAGTAATGGCCAGTTACTAGCTCCCAGATGGGTGACTACCCGGGTTCATAGTAGTTACAAACCTTGACACACATACACGTGTTTGCCACCTACCGTAATAACCGTAAACAATCGTAAAAACAACCTTACCCCTACGACAGCTGACCTTAGTTCAATAAAAAAAAAGCTCAAAAATAATATTAAAAAAAAAAAAATAATAATAATATTGATAAATATTTTATTTTACGTAGCATACACAGATTGCAGTGAAAAAAAAACAAAATATCTTTAAATCTCAATCATTTAGAGAAGAGTACCAATTACAGTGAAACCTAGATAATTCAATTCAGTTGGGGGCGATAAAAAAATTGCGTTATAAAAAAAATTGTATGTACTTATTGAAATGCAGGGGCGAACATATTCCTTCGAGTTATTGAAAATTCGACTTATAGACGTTCGAGTTATCGAGGTTTCACTGTATAGGAATGATGGAAGTTTAATTGTAATTTTAGTGTACACGATTCAAATACTCGGCTCGTTTAAAAAATAAAATAAACAACTAATGGATAAGAAAATAAAAATATAAATTTTAAACAAATATTATACAGTCAGTAATGGCTTACAAAATTCAATTTTAGAATTTAAAATCTTAATAAATAATTATTTGTTTATCAATAAATAATAAAGGGTCAAACAATTTAAAAAAAAATAATGCCCTAATATTTTAAAATTATAAAAATATGGACTTAAATTAAAGTCATCTTAAAATTTGTAAACAAAAATTGCTTATGAGATGAAATATCCATCGTCTTTAGTGTATTTCACACTGTCAAATGCTTTGGTGGTTGCAGAACAAAATTTTTTCAGAACTGAGTCTCTTAGGCCACAGTCACTAAGGTTTTGTTGGCCAAATAAGTGTATAGCTTTGTCTTCAGATTTTTGACTGTTACAATATTCTAATTTATATGAAAAAATTAAATTATTTTCAAGATATAGTTTTGAATCTATTTGAAATTTATACCTTTTTTTGACTCTGAAGCTAATGTAAAAGGTTTAGTGCTCTCCAAGTTGGCAAATGTAGCAGTAAATTTCTTTAAAGATGTTGATAATAAATCACAAAAATTGTAGACTGCATCTGGCAGTACAGGTCCTTTTACTTCTATCGAGTTGTAGCTTTGACCATCCACTTTTACTGTACTTTGTCTCACCTAAAATATTTATTAAACATTTTATTTAGTCGTACATAATACTGTTTGGAACAATGTTTATTTTAAAATATTATTTAATAACCGAATCCTTACTTTGAGAGGTGTTAAAGTAGCTCCAGTAAAGGCTACCGGTGCTAGAAGTGTGGGCGGTATGCCCGCATGAGGTCCTGTATTTGATACTGTTGAACGACAATTTATTAGCCAATTAAATAAGGCTTGTGCCTCAACACCAGTCACAACCACCAAAGACTCTTTAGTACTGTCAATTTTTCGTTGACGACTTGACACTAGTTCACTCTAGAAATATACTTTGAAATATAATTACTAATTCTAAATGAATAATGAATAATAAAATCTTGTTAAAGTACCTGAGAACTTTGCAAGCGTTTAATTTCAGATTTTTCAGCACCCATTGTTTCCAACCAACGTTCAGGTTCTTCATCCTCCCCAGTTTTGGCATCTTCTAATGTTTTTTTAGTAAAGAGTTCACTGCTGTGTTCATCCTCTTCGAGTAATGGCATTGTGAACTCTATATCTGTTGAATAATTAAACAGTTATTTACAAAGCTTATTAAAACGGCAGCGGAAAAAGCAATACCCAGGGGCCACAGACAAGATTACATACCAGCTGGTCAAATGAATGCGACAAACTGTTATCTGAATATGAACAAACAAAGTCCGAAGTAACAGCAGACTGATTAACAAAACTACTCGATGAGGAACGAAGACAAAGATGGGTCAAAGCTATGGAAGAGATGGACTTCTCTCACTCTAGCCGGAAAAGATGGGACCTTTTAAGAAAGCTTGGCGCATGGAAGAGATGGACTTCTCTCACTCTAGCCGGAAAAGCTGGGACCTTTTAAGAAAGCTTAGCGCTTCCCAACAAACTAGGAAAGAAAATAGCATCACTCCAAACGCAGTTGCAAGTAACCTCTTCAAAACCTTAAACATCAAACCTACTAAACAAAAGAACGTCACGATCGCTAACGAATATAAAAAAGAACTAGAGAGGTGCGAGGATAGGTCTACTTTAATGAATGACTTTATTGAACAAGATGTACAAATTGCCTTAAAAAACGTGAAAAACGGGAAAGCTGCAGGCGCAGACGAAATCCAACCGGAATTTTTAAAAAATTTGGGTTCTAAGAGTAGATCGCACGTTTCTTCACGAATGTGGCTGTT